CATAACCGCATTTCATGGACATTAGTGCTCCTCACAGATTTATTTCTGGCTTTTATGATGGTGTAAAGAGGACCAAATTTTGTGATCAGTTATGTGACTGACTTCTTTTCCAACCATAGAGGTTTCATTGCAGCAGTATGCAGAGAGAACACCATTGGGCACTGCAGGTTCTACAGCACAGCCTGTATTTTATGAATGGCTCATAAAAAGCTGTTGCAGTGTGGAGCATAGCTCTCAACTACTTATTTGGAGGGACTGTCCCTCTTGTGTTAGCAAATCTCCCGGTCCATCATACCTCCTCGAATGTCCCTTTTTTGTGCTCTGGTTTAGAGATGTATAAATTAATGTATAAATGAATCTACTATTTAACTGTCAAAACTATGTTCTTATTTTGCACGCACTTTGCATCTACCCTTCAGATTATAACAGGTCTGCGACTAAAAAGCTGTTTGATTATTTTTATCCAATTTCCATGTATTTTGGTGTGCTGAAAACAAATAAAATATTGAAAAAACTCCTAGACGTCATGATTTGCTACAACATGCAAAATTGTCTTCAAATATATCTTTTTTTTTATATTATGGGTTTTTAACAAAATTTAAAGTCCAAATTACTATTAATTAATTCACATAAGTGCATTTAAGATATAAAATGCCAAAAAACCTTAAAGGGTTCGTCCGAGTTATGTAAAAAAAATAGCACTGTAAATCTGATGGTCAGCAATATATACATAAGCTAAGCAAGTTTTAAATCTGTTCTTCTAATGGTAGAAGGGGTTCATCTTTCCTGAAGAATCCAGTGGGAGGGAGACACAGGGCAGATAGCAGCAGCTCCGGTCAGTGCAGGGGGCGTGGCCAGCACTGTGACGTCTCGTGTACAGACACAGAGCTGCTCTCTCCTGCATGCCACACTGGTGCACGAATCATCATCAGGTTCTTGGTTCTAGGCTGTTCACACTTTTTCATCGCAATTCGTGTTAGCTCGTCATTCTTCAACCGTTATGTTATGGCGAAAGTGTATTCATTCGCCAGACAGTTTCTGTTTCATTTGTGGTGAATATACAGTGTTGAAGCAACAGCAGAATATTACAGACTTTGTGAAAAAAGTATACTTTGGACTAAAAATTGGAGATCAAGATCAAGTTTGGGCGCCTCATAAAGTGTGCAAACGGTGTGTTGAGGACCTCCGAAACTGGTTCAAGGGTAAGAAAAAATATTTCCGTTATGGGATTCCTATGGTATTGCGAGAGCAAAAGAACCATAGTGATGACTGTTACTTTTGTTCATGCGATGTGAAAGGGTTTAATTCCAAATGGAAGCATTCCCTTTCATACCCCAATCTTCACTCATCAATTCGTCCCATCCCCTATAGCACAGATATACCAGTACCCAAGCCCCCTGCAACCTTGGAAGAGATACCTAGCTCTGATGAAGGTGAAGTCATACCTGAACCAGATGACGAATCAAGTTCTGACTTTGAAGATGATACAAGACCAAAATTATTTTCTCAGGAGGAGATGAATGATTTGGTAAGAGACTTGAAGACCGACAAAATCACTGGACCAAGAAGAGTTGGCAGCCGAGGGTGCTAACAGTCGGTGAAAAAAATGTCCTCCGAGAAACTTTGGTACCTTCCCATAAAGTTCTTCTACCACCTCTCCACATAAAATTGGGATTGATGAAGCAATTCATAAAATCACTGTAACGTCCGCAGCGGATCGCAATCACGGCATCTGCGTTCCAGCTTGGAATGCAGCGCCAGGAGGAGAGTCTCTACGGCTCTTCCGGCGCTGCGTGATGTCATGCGTTCCAGCGGAAGTCATAGGCCGTCCGTGCGCTCCAATCGGATGCAACGGCGGCCTATTTAAACACAGTCGGGAGGCTGACATGGCGTTCCACTATTGCGGTTTGGAACCCTGCAGCCCCCCGACGTCTATGTTGACGGAGCCTTGAACGAGACCACCAACACCAAGCTATTGGACTTCCTGGGACCCTATCACCACTCCAGCACTACTCCTCCAGAGGATACCTTCTCACACCCAGCACTGAGCAGACCAGGTCCTACCACCACTACCAGCAGCCACCGGATCTGCCCTACAAAAGCGCAAGTACCCCACTGGGGAATTAAGCATTGTACCACAGCCAATTGACTTTTGCAACCCAGAGACTGCATATTGATTGTTGCTATTAGTTACGGGTAGCATACCCTATATCGAGTGATCTTTAATCAGTTATTACTATTATTTCTACACTGAGGGGCCTATGAAGCAATAGGAGTCCTGCTTTAAACCACTTCCTTAGGAACATACGGCAGATGATGCTATAACCCCTAACTCCCCGTACATTTTGGGAGTGACGCCAGGGGTTAAGCCTGACTAGCCGTATTACCCTTAAAGGAACACTCGTAGAAAGGATGGGTTGCCTTACTGTCCTACCTGAGATCCAGAACCCAGGGGATTAGGGGGTGCGTGACAATCACTTCCAAGAGATGGAGAATGCTTCAAATACTTGGTCATAAAGTTTCCATGCCTGTCGGAGGCAAAATTGAAGGAAGGTGTGTTCGTCGGACCAGACATTAGAAGGCTTATAGTTGATCAAAAGTTTGTCAATACCATGACGGATCCTCAAAAAGAAGGGTGGATTGCATTTAAAGAAGTTGTACATAAATTTTTAGGCAATAACAAAGATCCTCGCTACAAAAAGATCGTCGGAAGGATGCTGAAAGCATTTCAAGCTTTAGGTTGCCTGATGAGTTTGAAAGTGCATTTCCTCCAGTCCCACCTTGACTACTTTCCTGAAAATTTGGGAGCTCTGAGCGAGGAACAAGGTGAACGATTCCACCAAGACATTAAAGAAATGGAAAGGAGATACCAGGGAAAATGGAGCATTACAATGATGGCAGACTACTGCTGGATGCTTCAGAGAGACATTCCAGATGCTACTCACAAGCGTAAATGCAGCAAGAGGAGCCTCACAAGGAAGAAGAATTGAGTTTAGTGTGTGTAGGTGAGTTCATTTCAGTTCAAAAAAGGATTTTCATGAAAATATTGTAATAAAACTTTAATTTTATAAGTCTATTTCCATTTATTTTGAGGTATTGCCTTATTTAACATAGTTACCTAAATTGTCAGGAAACGTGATGTCCTATGACAAAATGGAGGTAATTTTCGGATTCAGGGCACCAAAAAACATAAAGATTACATGGAATAACCAAAACAGCTCTCGAAAAAAATGTTTTTTTTCACATAAAGTAGTCATTAAACATTTTCTAGGAGGTTAAGTGACCATTTATGGGCTTTAATTTGCCACAATTTTTGCCTAAAAAGTCCCCCCATTTCCATTCTTAGAAAGGTGGGAGTTGTGGTGTTAAGTAAGTACTGTGGTGGTGTCCATCAAAGAGGGGGTAATGGTATCCTCACTCTGCGATTGATAGTTCCTTAGAACTGATAATTATAGGAGTGGGGAAAACTATCCCCATACTCAGCTATCACTGCAGATCTATACGTACAAACCCAAAGGGACTGATCGATATTTTCCTGGCATAGTAATCCACAAACATAATGTGGCATCACAGTGTGAAGATACAGCTAATATGAGCATTCTGTCTGCACTGGCAGCTACGATGGAAGTCTGGAACCTTTCATTATACATAGAAATGTGTTATTGGCAGTCAGTAGATGATGTATTGGCGAACGTGTGACGCCCCTGGCCATCTTGCCATCCTGGGTCATTGGCTATGCATAAATCCAGCTCTGGTGCAGATGGATAATGTACTTAGCAACCTTGATCAGTGCAGGTAATATTCAAATGATGAAAATGTTATTATGATGGAACCCAGCTGGCCAAAGCTTGGGCAACATAATACATTGATATATATGTTTTTTTTATGCAAATATAGGAAATACAGTATATTACTCTGTCAATATAACATTGCGTATGTTAAGTCCTTAGCTGAAAATATGGCTTTAAAACACATCTACCACTAAATGCTGCTTGTTGGATGAAACAAGAACATATCCTGTTGAAAACAAATGGATTAATTAGACTCTTGTTTGATAAGAAAAAAAACACTTTGTTAAAGATTTTTCTGTCATTGACATTCATTAAATGTCTGTGTGAAAGGTCAGTAAGATGTTTGAAGCATCTTATCTCCAAACATGTTATTATAATAATTTTATGGATGCAGTCAACAAATACCTTTCAGAAAAGAGGCACTGGTTAATGTCAAATTTTGGCTGAGTAGTCCAAACCATTTTTTTTTTTAAATTGAGTAGTTTGGATTTATTTATAACGTTGTGAGGTATTTTCAAGGCAATTAAAATTGCCTGGAAAAAAAAGAAATTATTTTTCTTTCCCTTGAATGGCCTCTTCTCACCCACATCGAAATCCACAAAACCATACATGCTGCAGCACAGTGATGTCAGCTTGGCTGAGTCGTAGACGGGTATAGTGCGATAACATATAGTCCTTACATCTGTCATATAAATTCACCTATGCATTTTCTTACTAGAAGAGTTTGTCTGAAGAGACCCTAACACAATATATAATCATAGCTGAATAATAAATGGACTGCAGAGATGCTCCTTTGTAAATAGATGTCATGCTGAACCTTTTGAAGCTGATCAAGGGCAAATTGTGTTCAATTTGCTTTTTTCCCAGCCAAAGAGGCTGGAGACTGACAGTCTGAACTTAGAAGTGCTCAGAGCTGAGTGCTTCCAGGTTTATTCTTTACAGGGGAGATCAGCAAGCTCACTGATCTCCTTCCACCCTCCATCCTGCTTTCCATGGAGGTACCAGGCACCCAGGAGGAGGAAGACTTACATTGGCAGCAGCAAAGGGGCTAAAGTGTATCTAAAACCAAGAACAAAAAGGTGATATAGTTCTGGTTACTAATCCTTGGTAAATCCTACTAAAAGGTAAGGTAGTTGCATTTATTTTCTTTTGTATTAGGCCTTTTCCCTTTATTTCTACCTGCTGTTCCTGCCAATAGCACACATTCTGACCTAGGGTAACAACACTCACTTGGAGGTTTAATTTATAAAATGTTTGCAGAGCCGTTCACTCTGCAAATGTCTATGTATATATATATATAGTTTCACACCTCAAAAGATGGAGCTTAGAAATGTTCAATGCTCCTCATCTCCATCTAGTGGTCATAATGAAGTGCAAATCTACAACACAGACATTCACAGTGCAAATTGTTCAGCAAACATTTCTTACGTACACCCCTTAGTGTACAGTGTCTATGGAGAAGTGTTGTCTTCCTAGGACTGGAATCGTAGACTTCAGGACACCTCCCTCTCTCCTCATCTCCATAACATAGGAGCCAAGGGATCTGTAGTTTACAGAGTGTGTGGGACACAAGACAGCACAGGATTTCTGGTAGGATCAACAGGTATTTTAAAACTTTTTTAACATGTATAGCCAGGGCCGGATTTCCCACAAGGCCAACCAAGGCCGGGCCTTGGGGCAGCAGGGGTGTGAAATTCCTATCTCTCGATGCCTGGGACATGCAGTTCCGGGTGCCGGGCAGTAAGTTGTTTTCTACATTTAGCCCTGATTTGGGCAAGCAGAGCTAAATGTACAGCGGGGAATTATATAGCAAAACACTTTGTAGGTTTATATAGCGTCAAAAGTGATGTTTTAGTGCTTTTTCCCATAGTTCTCCTAAGGGTAACAGGAGGACACAAACTAGCGTCCTCCCATCACCCAAAGCTCAGTATACCACGAGCTACAGCTCGCGGTATACTGAGACGCCGCAGCCTGGACGGATCCCGACATTACTGTCGAGATCCACCCAGCTGCGGGATTGACAGCTGGCTCTGCCTATCCAGAGGCAGAGCCAGCTGTGCCCGCTCCCTCCCCCGTTTGTTCCGCCAGTCAGTGCTGGAAGATCGGAGGGGGAATCCCTGCAGGGAGCCGTGAGTGACAGTCACGGCTCTCTGCAGGGAGATGATCGAAAAGTGAGCGAGCGACGGTATGTGTTCGCTCACTTCCCGATCTATTGAGCCAACCTGTGACAGTTTCATTGTCACAGGTTGGCTAGAACTAGAAAATCACTCACCTCATAGTTCTCCTTTAAGCATAAAATAGGTAGTTTCTATGGAATTTTGACCCATAAAGGCACTTGTGATTTTACATACATATATACTCCTCCATCACACTGCACTCATTCACCTCCACTCCCAGCCTGGTTGCTGATGTACAGATGATTGCAAGAAGTTAATATAAAGACAGATTTGGGTTCATATATTAGCTGTAAAAAAAATTATCAATTTTGTAAGTGCAGACTGAGTTCAATTATATGTAAGTATAAACTTTAAGATGTTAATCTAACTTTCAATATTTTATATCTGTAGCTTTTATTTATTTTTTAAATACCTGGTGGTCCTGCACTGAACGTCCTTGCTCAGGAACTTCCTGTTCCTGTGTGATAGTGCTCTGTCCCTTTATTTGTGCTCCTGCATTGTCACCCTGTCACATGGGCTTCTGACTGAGACTACATATGGCCATTTCAGCATGCATGGTCCACTGTTGGCACCACCAGGAAACCCTCCCTGAGAAATGTCATGCAGCTTGAGTACATATATACAGGAAGTGGTTCTAAAGAGGCTTCTGGTAACTAGCAGCACTGTGATGCAAAGAATAAAAATGGTAAAAACAACTATTTTCTTCTACTTTGATTTCTATTATTATTTACCTGTGCTTCTGCTTAACAGCATTCTAAAGTTGCATGGACACCGATTAAAATGATTGCCTATGCCAATGGCTGAAATTGTTGCTTAATTTTTTTATGATTCTGCTTTTCTGTTGGGCAAACAGCTTACGCTTAATCTTTATAAAATAAATGGCTGCTGCGATGTTCTGTGTCTCAGAGTCGGCAGGTACATTTGTTTGTGATTTAAATCTGCTTACCAAGTGCCACTTGAGCCTGCCAAATCAATCTAATAAAACGACTGTGAAAGCTCAAAATTTGCAAATTGCAACGCACAGTGCCAGAAAAATAAGCACACGAGGATTGCTATCACTTATTCAGATTGAAAAGCCTCCGGGCTGGATTTTCCTCTTATTTATTTATTTCGGTAACCTTCTGCATCTAACGCTTGCTTTTTGGCTTCCCGTACAGAATTTGCAGGTGGGTAAAGCAGACATTAATATAAAATACTGAATGCAATCAGCCATTATTGCATTGTTTCCTGTTTATTTATCGAGCAGTGGTTCTTGTCTGAATTACTGGCTTGGAGGAAAAACAATTACTTGTCTTTATAATGTGTATCTTTATAACTGATTTAATGTATTACTTATAGAGTTACTCACAGGTTAAATAATAAAGTGCAAAAAATCATGGAAAATTGTAAATCATGTCATCCAATCACAGAGCAACTTTCATCAGCTTGGAGTATTTAGACTTATATAGGCTAATTGCTATTTGGTTGTATTTACAAGTTCTTATTTCTTTCTATATACGATATTCTATGAGTAGAACATTTGCTATGCTATTGTAAATAGGCAAATATTTCACATATCCATATGTTCAGACTGCCACCCTGCCTGATGAAGCAATCAGTCCTGATCCTCCTAAGTATTTCTCCCCTGCAGAATGTGTTTATTAGTCTTCCTGTGGTTGGTTCTAGGTGCACAGTCGCAGAATAGTCAAACTTCCAGTTGGGTACTGACGAAGGCTGGTCAGCTGACTAGGGTAGGAGGAGAATAGCACAAGCCAATTTCCTTAGAGCAGGGATGATAAAACAACAAATTCCATCATGCATATGCCACTGGGAGTCATGCCTGTGGCTGTCAGGAACTTGCAATGCTTAATAAGATTTGACGTTTCACCACAGCTGGAGGGATGAAGTTTGGCTACCCCTGCCCTAGTGGAACAAGAAGAATAAACCCAGCTATGCTCTCCTCAGGGGTTAGGGGACAGCTTGATGTTTGGCTAGGTGCACCAGACGTCAGATTAGCTAGCAAGGACCCCACTGCCTGAATCCACAAAGTCCTTAGTACGAACTTCCTCCCTACATCATGGCAAGCATTACAGCCATTCATTCAAATGAATGGCCATCAGCAGTAAGGAAGCCAATGGAGATGGGATTAAAGCGATATTAAATCCTCCTTTTTTATATTTGCTATAAGGGTGCCCACCTTTGCCTGAGACTGTTGTTGTTTTTCTTTAAAATCTTTTCATTCCTCTTTTACAAGTGGGTCCCCGCAGCGTTCTTCCCTTCTGCCCCCTGTACAGGTGCCACCATAGTTCTAATGGAGGCACCTGTGCGTGCTCGGGCCCGCAGTGGCTGTGTGTGTCCATAGACACACTCCCCTTCTCTCTTTGATTGATGGCAGAAGGAGCCTACGGCTCCTCTGCTATCAGTATCCTCCGCCTGCAACCAGGAAGTACGGGGAACGGAGGATCACTTTGGGACCGGCGGCGGAAACGAGCGTCGCTGACAGGTAAGTGTTGGGGGGGGGGGGGGGTACTGGGGGAGAAAAAGGTTGTGGGTGGTTT